ACTTTAAGTCTCTCCTGACTAAAATTAGGTCCCTCTCACCTGCAAGTCTGAGTCCACTTCTGTCCCTGAAGCGACAGGTGTTATGGGGAGAGGGCGGAGGGGGGTGATGGGGAGAAAGCGAGAGGAAACAGATTATTTTTTCTGAGTTTTTTAGATTAACTTGTCTTCTTTATGGCTTTTATTCGGTGCTTTACTGCATTTGTTTTGGGAAAATATGAGGAAAAAATAAATACAGAAAAAAAATAATTTTTTTTAAAATCGCAAAATAATTATAGGGTGGCTAATGCCAAAGAAAGGGTGACTGAAGCCACCCTTAAATAGGTCTAACGACGCTTATGCATACAATTAAATGAAAGGTGTGTCTCCAAAAGGCTAACATAAGGAAAGTGTGTATCAATGTTTTCAGCACTTGCCCGGTTTGTATTAAAATCTAAAAGAAACAAATCTAAAATTCTTTCCGTTTAACAATCTATACTACGTAAGACAAGTCTGATGCAAAATTCCTCCAAAATATGGTAAAGTTTGAGCCTAGTAAACTAGCCCCACCCGCCAGCGGGCAAAATAATTTTTGCCTGCGAGTGGTCTAGCCACGATCAATAGCAGGCCCTAGAACTGGCGCGCCAATCACAACGCAGAGGTGTGTGTTGAATTTCTGGATGCAAAGAGGGCAGGGCTTTGAGGGCGGGATGACAAAGCTGCACAATGCTGGAGAATGCACAACAAGGAAGTTGGCAACAACTATTGAACAGTAGCCTGTACTGCGGCAGCAGCAGCTTTCAATGGAGAGCTCGATTGAAAGTTAAAAGTTCTCTTTTCTGTTGCTGTTGTTCAATAAAAGTATGTTTTGAGATAATTTGAGGAAAGAATATTATACTTTAAAGCGGCACTATATGGTCCATTTAACGATTTAATGCATAATTAAAAACAACTATTTCTGAAGTTTAGAGGACCGTGGCACCTCCCGGACCTCCGAGGCTAACGGCAGCCAGGGCTAACTGCAGCTCGTCTGCAACGGCCCTCTCTTTGCATGTGTGAAGGACCTCTGACTCTGGTGCCGATTTTTAAGAAGGATGTATTCGCCGTTTTACCGACAGGCTGTTTGTTTACACTTCCCCACCAGCTTTCTGTCACGCTTACTACATCACATTCAGTTGCACTCATTGGTTCAGAGCGTTGGCCAATAGGCACAGACATGGTTTGAATCTTCCGGTGTCTGATTCATCGGGGCCAGACTAAATTACACATTTTATCTCACATTTAGTCTGGTTTATCAGGCTAGTAAAGTTTAAGATTATAATGCCATAAAATTAGATTTATGAATTGTAGTTGCAACGGACTGTATATTTTTTTTATTAAATCAAAAGTAAAGATACCTTAAAGATGGCCTAAATTTATCAACATTAAAAATGAAAGGGAAATAAGTCTAAAAGATTAAAAAGCTAAAGCAAAACAATAAAATATAAAAGTTTTATTTGACTTAGACTTTAACTCAACTTTATTTATCCCTTGGGATAACTCCATCAGGGAAATTCTGGTTCCAGTATCTTATATAGAGTATAAGAAGTTAAAGCAAGATGCCATTGAAGATGAAAATACAGACAATATAAAAACATTTTATATAGTACAAAAAAAGCATAAAAAAAGTTGACAACAACAAACCAGGTATATGTTTCGCCCTAACTAGACAAAATACTAGTTTAAGAAAAAAAAAAAAAAACTCACCTGCAAATTGGCTGTCGATGGCTTATCCAGAGTCTGTGGTGAACTGCTAGGATTCACGGTCAAATGTAGATCTCCACCAGGGAAGATAATTTTGTGAGTTTTTCTCTGTAAAACTCTTTCCTGATCTTGAACATGAAAAATATCATAAGTTTACCGCTTTTCTATTTTAGAGCTGTAAATTCTTTAAAGCACATACCTTCTTTTTCATTAAAGCTGACTTTATAGATGTTATCTCCGACCGTTTCAATAACTCCACAATCACCTCCCCCAGAGTCTCTTCTTTTCTGAAAGTATCTCCTGACCCTTTCCTTCTCTCTGTCTGTTAGAGGCCTAGCCTCAAAATAAAGGGAATGGGAAGATTCAGCCATTTTTAACCCTTTTAACCAAGAGAGCACTGTCTGTGCTTGTTCCTGTTCTGTCAACAATCCTTACTAAAGAATTTGTTTCACTTTCATCAACTTTTCTCCTCCTCTCTTAGCATAGATACCTTGACACACCCAGCACAATCCCGTAATCGCTCCGCCTGGGGAGACATTTCCTGGATTGGTTTGTTGAATATTTACATTGCAACTGTAAACAAATACTTATAAAACCACTGATAATGACTTGATAATAACCTTCATTAATTTAAAAACAAAGTATCATTCCTTTCAGAGATTTAATCAATTAGGAGCATACAACTGAGTGCATATAGTTTCTTACATTCATTGTTTTAAAAAGCTAGATATTTATCCCAGTTTAAAGAAGTTTTTGTGACACAAATGTTTGGCTCCCATCCTTTTTTTTACTGCAGTTTTCACTCTTGTTCACACATATCTACATTTCGAGCCCCATCAGACATCATAGAAAAATGCAAATAAGGGATAAATGCATGTGATTATCTGTTTGAAGTGCAGGCCTTCTATCTTGGGTAAAGTCCACTGCTGGCTGAGATTTCCAGAACAGGCCAAACTTCTAAAGGGATGGGTTATGATGTGGAAGTGGTGTCATGTTACAGTTCCCGCCCATACACGTTTCACTGCTTTGACAGGAATCCACCTGTTCTATTTTTGTGTGCATTAAGCTAAGTAAAAAGAAAATTCAAACAAACCTTGAAAGAGTAAAAAAGAAGTATTTCATTTTCTAACGAGACTGTCAACATGCTCATTAGACCAGATATAACATGAAGTGTTATTTTGCACAGGAGATAAATTGGCTGTTGCTCATATTTGAATGTTATTTGCAAACTTGTGTCCAGGTTTAAACCATCATGTTTGTAATGATATAATTATTCTGGCTTTTTTTTTTCATATCAGGATTTTTAAATTGTCCCTTAAACGTTTGAGCAAAGAATGTTAGGAAGCTGGTAGTGTTCTCAATAGTTGTTTATTTGTTAGAACATTTTAAGGTATTTATATTGACTTGGAGGGCTCCTCTTTAGCAGGCTTAAGGTGTTGGTAGAGGATTTCTGCATCTAAACATTTAAAGCAGAACCATAAAGTCCTATGATCATGGTGTGCTGATGATTCTCCGAGCAAATGTCAAAACAAAATTTACATTTTGTTCACTGACTTCAATTCTGCTGTGCGAGTTTACCAGAATATTATGAATATATTAAATAACTAGAACTGGAAATTATAGTTAATTAATAGTTCGTTCAAATCAAGGGTAAAACAATTATTATCATTTGAATGATTGTAACTGTTATTTGCGTACTGACCTGGGTTCTTAGTCTCTTCCATAAGATGTCGAACTCCTAAATTTGACTGTTAAAATTTCAGTTGTCTTTTAACCATTTAGTAATTTTGACTATGGCTATCAGCAGAGTAAATAATCAACAACCAAATAAATCTGTCTCTTTTCAGTCAGATGCTACTGAAAGAAGAGGGAATCAGGCTTGGGTGAAAAATCATTTTACTGTTTAAAATAAACACAAAACACCATGGGTTAAAATACAATAGTACCTTTAATAGATACTAATCCAACAATATTATTATATCTAACTACTACACATACACTAAACACTANCAAGAGAGCACTGTCTGTGCTTGTTCCTGTTCTGTCAACAAGCCTTACTAAAGAATTAGTTTCACTTTCACCTGTTTTTCTCCTCTACAGTATCTTGACACACCCAGTTACAATCCGGTAATCGCTCCGTCTGGAGAGACATTTCCTGGATTGGTTTGTTGAATATTTACGTTGCAACTGTTAACAAATACTTATAAAACCACTGATAATGACTTGATAATAACCTTCATTAATTTAAAAACAAAGTAACATTCCTTTCAGAGATTTAATCAATTATGAGCATACAACTGAGTGCAAATAGTTTCTTACATTCATTGTTTTAAAAAGCTAGATATTTATCCCAATTTGAAGAAGTTTTTTGACACAAATGTTTGGCTCCCATCCTTTTTTTTTCTGCAGTTTTGACTCTTGTTCACACATATTTACATTGCGAGCCCCATGAGACATCATAGAAGAATGCAAACAAGGGATAAATGCATGTGATTATCTGTTTGAGGGTAAAGTCCACTGCTGGCTGAGGTTTCCAGAACAGGCCAAACTTCTAAAGGGATGGGTTATGATGTGGAAGTGGTGTCATGTTACAGTTCCCGCCCATACACGTTTCACTGCTTTGGCAGGAATCCATCTGTTCTATTTTTAAAAGAAGCATTTCATTTTCTAAATGAATTTATAACTAGACTGTCAACATGCTCATTAAACCGAATATTACATGAAGTGTTATGTTGTACAGGAGATAATTTGGCTGTTGCTCATATTTGAATATTATTTGCAAATTTGTGTCCAGGTTTATACCCTCCTGCTTGTAATATTATAATTACTCTGGCTTTTTTTTTTTTTTTCCATATTTCATAGTTACTTCAAACATTTGAGCAAAGAATGTTAGGAAGCTGGTAGTGTTCTCAATAGTGGTTTATTTGTTGGAAAGTTTTAAGGTATTTATATTGACTTGGAGAGCTTTTTAGCAGGCATCAGGTGTTGGTAGAGGATTTCTGCATCCAAACATTTGAAACAGAACCCTAAAGTCCTATGATCACGGTGTGCTGATGAGTCTCCATGTCAAAGCAAAATTGACATTTTCTTCACTGACTTCAGTTGTGTTGGGCAAGTTTACCAGAATATTATGAATATATTAAATAACTAGAACTGGAAATTATAGTTAATGAATAGGTTGTTTAAATCAAGGGTAAAACAATTATTATCAGTTGAATGATTGTAACTGTATTTTGCGTACTGACCTGTGTTCTTAGTCTCTTTCATAAGATGTTGAACTCCTAAAATTGATTGTTGAAATTTTAGTTGTCTTTCATTTTGACTATGGCTATCAGCAGAGTTATTAATCAACAACCAAATAAATCTGTCTCTGTTCAGTCAGATGCTACAGAAAGAAGATGGAATCAGGCTTGAGTGAAAAATAATTTTACTGTGTAAAATAAACACAAAAGACCATGGGTTAAAATACAATAGTACCTTTAATAGATACTAATGAAACAATATTATTATATCTAATAACTACGTATACACTAAACACTACTGAAAATAAGGAACAATAACAAATAAAAGGGGAAGAGAGGGTTTAAGTTTAAGTCTGTTCAAGTCTCTGTGGAATGTTCAGGTTTTAAGGTTTAATGCATTGAAAGTGTCATTTAAAACAGCAGCAGACACATAAAAAAAAAAAACCTGTTGCAGAGATGTTAAATGCAGTAAAAACTGTGCGGTCTTATTCAGTTTGATGGTAAAAAGTGACTCAGGAATGCATTAAACTGTGATGAAGCTGAAAGAGAATGGACCTAGCAGCCTCTACAATGTGGCCGGCATTAGGTAGCTGGAGCTAACGATGCTGGCCAGTCCAATCTAGCAGTGTCTTCAGACCCATGTTGCCAGTCTGATCAGTAAACATTCAGTCAAATCTCTTAAAACCATCAGCAGTTGAACCGGAAAGTGTATTTCAAATAAACACAAACACAACTATCTATTCTACCAAGTCCACCCAAGCGGAGTACTTATTAAACCTCAGATGAACAGAGGGAAGGATGGATGTTACTGTTTTGGTTCAGTGAAGTGGAAGGGTCTTTTGCCTCGGTTCAGTTCTTTAGCTGATCTGGGCCCAGTCCAGTCCGGTTGCCCAACAGCAGCTCTCAGATAGATTTAGATTGATCCGATGCAGTAACAAGAGACTACTTGGAAAACTCTCTCTGGAATTCTGTCAATCCTATCACCTGGAGCATCATTAAAATCTCCACCAATAATCAGGAGGGCCTTTTTATTTTTACTTTGTAAATCCCTTATTTTGGATATGATTTCTGCAAACATAGTACGGGCATGTGGGGTTCCATTATGACTGTATACATTACATATTATAAAAAGGCTATTGTCCAGTTTGAATAAAATAATAATCCATCTACTGTTATTAGACTTGTACATTTCTAAGATGTCACCTGTAAATTTATTGAGAAGGAATGCAATGCCTGCAGAATTATGTGTACTATGACAAAAGTGTGCTTGATCTCCCCATTGGCTTTTCCAAAACGTTGCAGGAGTGCATTTCTTGTAAGAGGATAATATCAGAGTTCGTTTTTCGAAGAAAAAAGAACATCGCTTGTCTTTTTACATGATTTCTCAAACCATGAACATTAAGTAAGACTATCTTCAAAGAGTTACATTTGAAAACATCTATTTCAGTAAAGTAAATACGTAGAATATTTAAGATAAAAGAGCATAATGTCTGTAGAACAAAAAAAATTATGATGTAAGGACTGAAAAAAAGGGCCTTGTTAGTGCAAAGGCTTTGAGGTGTGAACGAGTTTGCTTTTTAGGTGCCTGTAATCAGTTTAGGTACTTTAAGCAAATAAAACTTGAATGCATTGCATAAAATGTGTCTCTAACAGTTAACACCTAAACAAGAGGTCAACAAACATTTTGTCTTTTCCATTTCTTACACCCTAACAGAGAGAAAAAAAAGAACAAAACAATCAGTTCTACAGGTGAAGAGATAATGACAAACCCATGGGAGTCACACTAGACATCTTTCATGGAGTCAGCAGTGATTCTCTTGCCTTCAGTGATCACATCTGGACCTGGAGCGACATGCTGTCTTCTTTCCATCTTCGCAGGCTTTTTCAACAAGTGGCCAAGTGGTTTGTTACGTCACTGTCTTTCACCATTGGTCAGGTTCTCCGTAAGTCGAAGCTTTTGCTCTTTCATCACATCGGTGCTCCTACATCTCTGGGACGTTCGACTCGGTGAATCGTGTCGACCGGAAAGCCCAGCTTCTCTTTTCATCTGGAGCCATCTGCCCAAAACTGGAAGACCTGATTTCTTAGATCTTCTACGGATCTAAGATCTAATCCTCATTGGAGACACATGGGAAGTAGTGTCAGGAAGCCTTTGACTGATGCTT